CCATATTTACACTGGCCAAGGACCCACAACCATGTGCCAGACACAGCTTTTATTCTCACAGTCTGAACAGGCTTCATGTGTGTTAACATTCTTCATACAAAAGATACATACAGGCAGTTTCTGTCAACCAGAAACATACTGGTTTCGACTGTTCACACAGTAACCATAACAAATGGAGTCCTGAAGAGCACTTTAGGCCCTATATTGTAATAAACGAAACAAAATCCATGCAAGGAGAAAAGGAGATTTAAAAACATGCTTATTTAAAATAAGTTTATTATAATGAAATAATATAAAAGTCTGTCAAAGTCTTAAAAACGCTCCAAACAAAGAGACAGACACTGTAGATTTGAGAGATGATGCAGACTGGAAACTTCAGAGTATTTCAGACTGAACTGCTTATGACAGCACAATTTGTGCAAAGCTTACATTGAGAGAGGTGATTTGGGGGGCATGAACAAGCCCTTAGAATTCAGTAAATTTAAAGTGTGAGGCAATATACCTTCTCTTTGTCTTTAAATGTATTTCAGTATGTATATGTTTTAGTATGCAAAGTAAGGCTTACATTAAGCTTAGCTTGACATGGATAAAAATGTATGCCCAAAACTGCCTTGAGAAAAAGAAAATAGGAAAGGAAACCATAAAAGCAAGCTGCCTTGGTTTTCAGTTGAATTATTGTATTCTGGAATGCAATTTACTCATACAGTTTCAAGTAGACACAAATCTCAAACTTTCAACATGGCTTTAAATAAAGGAATCAATAAATTTTGGACACCTTGAATGCTGAAATGCAAAAGAAAGTTGACATACTTAGTGTTAAGTAGAAATTAGGAAATGAAAACAAGGAAGTTTCATATTTAAAAAATCCAGCTTTAGTACATCTGAAGTATGTGGGGGAGAAATCTTACACCAAGAAAGGGATATTAAAAATGACAATCTAAGACTGCACTTTGAAGAACTGCATGCCAGTGGGATGGTGCACGTGTGTGTAAGGAAGCATACGCCTATGTCACAACTTCAAAGCAAGTGCTTTAATCCTTGTGTCAACTGTGAGCAGGATCAGCTAGGGCCTGGGTTTGCTCAGAGCCAGTAAGTGCACTATGACACCCCTACTGCACAAGGGAGGTTTTATATTGCTTGGAGCAAGCTGAAGTTTGCAGGGTTTGTTCACCAGGGGGCTACAGAAGGCATCAACAAGGCATGAATTCAGTTATTTCACACTGCTTTTTTTTGTTTGTTTTGTTATCTGCACTATGCAGGCAAGAGGAGAGAAATAAGTACTAACTAAAACAACAAAATAAAACAACAAGACCAAAAAACTTCGTGCTTTCATTCCTATGAGGCAGAACAGCCAAGTCTGAAATGCCCCAATTTACATTGCCTGCCAAAGAATTAATTTCTGAATATCTCAGTTTATATTTGCACGCCTTATAAAACATCGTGCTTTGCTCTGACAGTAACAGCTTTCCTAGCAAAGCAGACGACAATGGATAAAAAAGGAAAGACACGTGGGGAAAAAGGTCAAGACAGCCAGGTTGGAACGGGCTAATGATCGTCCTTGGCATCTGAAAGGCAGTTTAAGCTTCCCTAAACATTATCACAAAAGCTGAAGTGACAATGAAAAGAAAGGGTGCAGAAGGTGCAGCATATGGACATATGTAGCAATTTTTCTATAATGGCCCACACCCCTTTGCCAAAGCAGGCTGCAAACACCTGGGGCAGGCTTTGGGCATACATTTTACACGTCCAACCAACTTAGCAACACCTTTCAAACAAGGAAAGATTTCAAAAGCAAACAGCTGTAATTTAAATCCTGATGATGCTTTATAAAAAGCTTTCAAGTGAAGGTACATGGACCTTAATTTTAAATGTATCTGTTAAAGGGAGATCCACAGCACAACAGTGTCAAGATGGGATGTTTCAATGACTCATGTTTACACTAAAGCACTTGAGTATACAGGTCATATTCTACAACTGTAATGTCACAGAACTTCAATATGGAACTGAGTATGGTGACTTTAAATAGCAGAGAAAACTCCAGAACACAGCTTGTTTAAAAAGAAAAAAACCCCCACAGAATAAATAAAATAAATAAAAGTATCTGATTGCTAAGCAGAACTCGACTGAAACTGAGAGCTCTGCTCTGATGTCAATGACATTATATGACAAAGATGTGTTCATGATCTCTATTCAAATATGCTGACTGGGATTATTCAGTACTACATAGCACTTCTATCAGATTGCTTTGGGATTCACCATGTCTCAGCAAGGATGCACACTGCACAGACACTGCCTGTCTCACATGCTGTATCAGACTTCTACGCTCAGCTATGCTAACTTCACAAAAAGCAGCCTTACTCCCCCCTAGGATAAGGCTGTGATTACTCTTATTTCACCTTGGGTAAGTAAAATCCCTGAGAATATGCAACTGTCAGACACTGAAGGAAACAGCCAAAAGCATTTCTAAAGGAAAGGAATGCAAAACAGACACTGTCTTCATGTGAGACAGCCAGGGTGCTGTTATCTGAGTCATGTGGATGTCTATCAGTGTGCAGGTCAGTTGTTCATAAATGTCAGCCATTAAAAAAAACACAACAAAGAAAACAACCCTAACTAATCAACAAACTAAATAGATGAAACAGAAAACACTGACCCTCTCTCCAATTCTAAATTTGAAGGCCAAAAATTAGTTGCTTGTTCTCTACAATTATTCTAATGCCATCCTCTCTGCTTGCCAAACTGACACCACAGAAAAAGACAGTGAGTTGTCCATCAGTGCATTTGCTTCCACTTGGTCATGCCTACTACACCCTGAGAAGTGTAACTTGGAGTTCAGCTCTGCAACACGCTGCATGGGTTTCTTTCTCAGTGGTGGTTTGACTGCAAAGATTGCATTCAGAAGTCTTGAAGTGCTCAGCGCCCTGCAAGAGCAGTGCATGGAGAAGTGCAAGTTTTGAAGGCAAGGAGACCTTGCTCAGTTCATTCTCTGCAAGGCCCCTGTTTAACACAAGCACAGAGGGGTCTCCTGGAGCCACAGTCTCCTAAAAACATTCTCAAGCACCAATTCCAGAGTTCAGAAAAAACAACTTCACACAAAACAGCAAGATGAGAAAGCCTGCTCTGACGCAGGATGCCACGCTGATTAGAGAATATGTAATGTGGAACACTCTCCCTGCTTGGACGACAGAAGAATGGTAGAACTTAGTAACTGGAGCTAGTGGCCCAATGAAGCTGTTCTTTGCCTACAAAATAAAGGCTCCTGACTTTTTGAAACAAATTTTGCATCTGATGAACACCCAACAAACTAGTGGTTCTCCTGCTAGTTAAAAAACAAACCAAAACAAAACAGAAACCCCAAAAATACCACCAAACACTCTGATCTGAATATACTTTCCCACTACTGGAAAAACTTAAGAGAAAAAGGAATTCAATTTTTTTTTGGTGATCTGACAGTTAATTTCTAGAGAAGAGGGATCTCTTCCTGATCTTCCCATAACCTAGCTGATAATTTGTGGAAATGTGGTCTCCATTATCTTTCCAAACCATTCAGCTAAAAGCCATTACAGTGAAGTAACAGAACAGCTGAAAACCATGAGGAAACACACAGGGTGGAAAGTTGGTTGCTCTCCTACAGGGGTGGTTTCTTTGGATTCATGCTTAGAATTAGCAGACAACCAAATTCCAAAAGCTCTTAGCTTCATGTTTAGCACTGTGAGTAGTGAAATAATTGAATAGAGCTTTGGTCAAAAGCTTTGACTTTGTACTCACACACATACTTAATTTAAGAAAATCCACATAACTAAAACCTGATTCCTTCTGATCCCTCTCAAGTTCCTAGGAACTACAGATGGGTAAAACTCAAAGATGATGACAGAGCAAGAAGTCACACTACTTAAAGAGTCTCCTGGGAATCTGGAGAGGTCCCAGCTGACTGGAGGCTGGCAAGCATTGTCCTGATTTTCAAGAAGGGAAAGAAGAAGGGCCCTGGAAATTACAGGCCTGTCAGCCTCACTTCAGTGCCAGGTAAAATCATGGGAAGGACCATTCTGGGAGGTATTGAAAAACACCTGAAAGACAATGCAGTCACTGGTCACAGCCAGCACAGCTTCATGAGAGGGAAGTCCTGATTGTCAAAACTGATTTCCTTCTACGACAGCCCACTTAGTTACTTAGGAAAGCCAGCTGATGTCATCTTTTTGGACTTCAGCAAAGCTTTCAACACTCCCACAGTAACCTTCTGGACAAGATGTCCAGCACACAGCTCAATAACCACGTTACATGATCAGAGAGCAACTGGCTCATGGGCTGGGCACAAATGGTTGTAGTGACTCATCAGGCTGATGCCCTGTCCCCAGTGGAGTTCCACATGGCCCCATCCTTGGCCCTGTGCTTTTCAACATCTTCATAAGTGACTTGGACACAGGACTGGAAGGGATGCTAAGTAAGTTTGCCAACAACACCAAATTGGGAGGAGCTAAACTGAGATTCCCTTGAGGGCAGGGAGGCCCTGCAGAGAGACCCTGAAGAATTGGAGAGGGGCAATCACCAAATCTGAAGTTTAGCAAGGGCAAGGGCCAGATTCTGAATTTGGGACAGGACCGTCCTGGTTGTGTGCACAGACAGGAGTGAGATGCTGGAGAGCAACACTGCAGAGAGCTCAGGGGGTCCTGATTGATAGCAAGCTGAATCTGATTCAGCAGTGCCCTGGCAGCCAAGAGGGCCAACCCTGTCCTGGGGGCGGACACGGCATGGCCAAGGGAGGGGATTGTCCTGCTCTGCTCTGAGCTGGGGTGACCTCACCTCGAGAGCTGGGGGCAGTGGTGGGTGCCACAATATAAAAAACCCATTTAACCTGTCAGAGAATGTCCAAAGGAGGGCCACAAGGATGGTGAAGGGTCTGGAGGGGAAGCCTTATGAGGAGGTCACTTGGTTTGATCAGCCTGGAGAAGGGAGACTGAGGGGAGACCTCACTGTGGTCTCCACCATCCTCACAAGGGGAAGAGAGGAACAGACACTGATCTCTTCACTCTCATGACCAGTGACAGGATTCAAGGAAATTACATGAAGCTGAGTCAGGGGAGGTTTAGGTTGGATACCAGGCAGAAGCTTTTCACCCAGAGGGGACTGGACACTGGAACAAGCTCCCCAGGGAAATGGTCACTGAGCCCATCTGAGTTCAAGCAGCTTTTGGACAATGCCCTCAGGCATACGGTGTGATTCTTGGGGTGTCCTGTGCAGGGCCAGGAGTTGGGCTTGATGATCCTGACCCCTTGGGTCTCTTCCAACACAGCATATTCTATGACTCTATTAATGTCTAATTAGAGTCCTGCTATCTATCTTTATACAGTAAGTTTGATGTTGGCCTTTTCTTCAAGTATCGCATGCTTTTCTTAAAGCTCACAATGCTAGGCTCTTTAGAAAGGATCAAGTATTCAGTGTGCAGAGGCTCCAGTCACAGAGCAATGCAGGGCAGCAGGTCTGCAGTACATTCATTTTACTAACAACACTGGTTTTAGCCTAGCAGAAGCCAGCAATAATTCTGTGAGTATGGCAACACTGCCTTGTGTATTTATGAAAACTTACTAATTCTAAGTTCCTCATTAGCAGAGTCTTCACCACTCCTGTACATGAGTTAAACTCAGCTCTTTGTGCAAAGCCATCTGAAGCCCAAGGTCAACAAAGAGAGACCTGCTTATGCCTTGAATTGGAGTAATTCACAGACAGCCTTCTGCTTGGTCATCAACACAACTAGAAATTTTGCTGCTAACAATGTCACCAGCTAAAAGGAGTTCTTCACTATTTTAATAGCAGTAATGCTAACAAACACATTTTTATCTGTATCAGCAAAATGGGAAAAAGAGGAAATCTTTCTTAATTTTTAGTCACTCCTAAATAATTTCAAAATTCAAGATTTGTAATTGGTCCCATGTTTAATAGCTCCATCACAAATTTTAGCTTCCCCTATACTTTACTCATTTCAGGTCCCCTTGCATGTAGTTTCTGCCCATAATGACAGTTTAGGAAGGATTTTAATGACATCTGCTTTTCAAACTGCTAGCTGTACTCAACTTAAAAGCAAGTATTACAGTTTTGCATGAATTTGATTCAAAAAACCCCTAAAACCTAAAAGGCTTATATGGCAGGGAAGCCACAGCACATACTGGGAGCTGGTCAGAGAACACAACATCCTGTTTCAAAGGCTAGACCTTGGGGCCACTCAGACCACCAGCCACATACACCTGTGGTGAAGATCTCTGTAATATTTGGATCAAAATGTTTATTTAATTTAATAAATATCTATGCCATGCAAATATATTATTCGCATTAAAGAGCTTCAACCCAAATTGAGGGACAAACTCACCACATTGTAAGCTGGTGTTTAGCTGTCCTTCTCTTCTGCTACCAGGGTAACAATAACTCTCACTATCCTCCTACACCATGGCAGGGAGTGGGCACAGAGAATGGGAGAGTCAGAGGCAGCAGCACCTGCCTGGGTGCCAAGTGGTGACACAACAGCTCTGCTGCATGAGCAGGTCTCTCCTTAGGTACAGCAGCAAAGGCCAAATTCTGCTCTGTTACTTTTATGAGGTGAAGAGAAGAGGAGGTGCACAGGCAGAAGAGAAACAGTCAAAAACATTCACCACGGACATAGTTATGATCCAAAGAGAGACAGTACCTCTGCATTTAAATGCAACACAAGCGTAATGAAAATATAAAAATCACACATACCCTTCCCCCAAAACACTCAACACCTTTCCCACCTGAAAAGATACAGTGAACAGAAATGATGTCCCAAAATCAAAATGGAAGGAATCTTTGTTAACAGACACAGTCCCTGAATTTTTAAGATGTGGTCTTGCTGTAGTTATACCACCTCATCTGACTCCAAACCATGTACTTCATAGAGAGTGTCCAAGATATTTAGCTGCTTTTCCATGGCTGGTAAGTAAATGTTGAGGTCCCTCTGCATTCCTTTGTAAAATGTTTCTTCCTGAGGATCACACTCATCTACAGACAGAGCTGCCACAAAATCTTCATACGTTGGAGCTGCCCTTAAAGCTAACTGGGAGAGGAAACAAAGCTCTTAGATTTGCAACATAGAATAGGAAAAGAAATACAATTAAAGCCTTGAAAAACTTCTAAGACTTCCCTCTTTGCATTTAGACTGCATAGCTTCAATTTAATCACATGCACATGCATATATTGAGAATTTTAACTAGAAGGGAGCTTAACTTAAACTGGGGATCTACACAAAAATAATAATAAAAAATAATATTTTATTATAGAATTTTTTATTATTATCTTCAGAGATGCTAGACTTTTAGAAAGTGTTTGTGTATCATATTTTATATAAATACATTGGGCACATCAGAAATCAATTAAATACAAACCCCAAATAAAGTATAGTTTGTCAGGGGAGCTTCCAACCCAGTGTTACACACCATCACTAAATTCTCAACATGCTCTTTAGAAAGGTCTCTCCAACAATTCTGCTCCTCTCAAAGTCATGATTGCCTGGATGAGGTTTTCCTTTTTCCTTTTGTAATTTCAGTGATAATTTTCCAATGACAGACACAAGGGGGAGCTGCCAGACTGGACGAAAAATTTCCTCTATCCAACTCCCCACACACACTGTGCTAACCCTGTCTGAATGCTCTTCATATTCAATGCGAGATCAATCTTCAAAAAAGCAACCTCAAAATCTCTTTTCTTCATTTAATAGCCCTGCAAAACTGTGCTCAAAAACACATAATTAAAAAATTGTGCATGCAAATGCAATCTGCTTGTTTCATCTCTGGAAATCAGGCTCCATCCTTAAAGTCCAGTACTAAACACAGTGAAAGCCACAATCCTCAGTTTGAAAATAAGGTCTAGCAAAGGAATCTATTAATTTTAATACTTAGAATTTTAACACAGTTTATTAATTACACACAATATGAGATCACAAGGACAAGACCCCCAGTTCTGTCAGCAGCTAAGATAAATACTCACAGCGAAGACCCCGCGGACAACCCAACCATGGTGCTGCCGTAATGTCTTTCCATAAGCATTGTCTTAAAGGAAAAGAAAATAAATCAAGAGATAGATATATGGCAGTTTTAAGTTTGCATGTCAAGAGAATACAGAGCTTAGAGATGACTATTCAAGGGTATATTCTTGCTACTCATTGTAAATAATGGCTGTTTCTGAGCAGACTGAAAGGAGATGACAGATTTGGGATTTCTGCACTGGGGTCTCAGCTCCCCCGTCAAATCTCCTTCAACTCATCCACAGCAAGTAAGTGTTCCAACAGACAGGAAGGCTAATGCAAAGTCTAAGAAAATACTGTATGGAGTGAAATTCCAACAGTAAACCAAAGCTGCAGTGGTGGTACAGATACAGAAGAGCTTTTCAGGGAAAGAAAGGGAATGAAAAAGTAGAAAAAACCAGCAGCATGACTCTGCTGCAGACACAGAGCAATTCAAGGAGCAGTTCAGTGCTGAGGCCTTCAGACTCAGAAGGTCAAATAATCACCTTCCATGGTGTTTAACACCCGTATCTGGGAGCAATGTATTTACAGCCTCACTTCAATTTCAAGAGCTGCTACATACTTCAGTGCAGTAGTTCTTTTTACTAATCCTATAAGGCAATTGCTTTGCTGTGTAAAAGAAGATAACATAAAAAGCTTTAAAAAAGCTGTTTTGAAGTTGGTTTAATGGATTATTACAACATTATACTGCACGCATATAGAGAGGGTCTTGTGCAGGAGCAACCAAGTTAAGTCTAAGAGGAGTTTGTATTTTGTTTTGTTCTTACTGTGGTCAGTAGCTTGACAAAGAAAGTGTCAGAAATTGTGTACTTGGAAAAAAATCCTTCTTCTTTGTTAAAACCTCCCTTCTAATTCATGCAGGCAATTCACAGCCAAATTGGCAAAGAGGTGATTTCCAAGGATGATGGCCAATCACACAAGGAATTAGAAAACTAACAAAACAGCAATTATACATTTGGGAGAGCTCCCACTGGAAACCAGTAGAGAAATTTGAATGAGTCAAAGCACTTGACTGTCTCCTCTGCCAAAAGTATGCCAGTTAAAGGAATCTTTATTTGCTAATGAATTACATTTACCAGTTATCTAGTAACCCATCTCAAGGCAACCATTTTAAAAAACTGCAGTTTTCAAAAATGTTATGTCTTAGAGATCACTTTCCTCATCAGCCACTGAAGAAAAGACACAGGTTCTAAACAAGAAGGAAAGTAGTCAAGCATGTGAATTTAGAAGCAGATGAAGAACAAAGCAATTGGTACTTACTCAGAGCTGTTTGGATATTCTTCTCCCCATTCTTCACTTCTGTCAAAAATCCTTTCAAGAACTTTAAACCTCTGCCAGGAAGAACCCATGAAATAAAAAGAAACCATGCTTATAAGAAAGTAATCCAAAGTATAACAAAGCCCCCAGAGTTGCAATACAACTCCAAAGTGCAATAAAACTCAGTATTAAGGAGCCAATTTCAATCTGAACAAAATTGCAACCACCTTCTCCAGCCTCTTTCCCAGTGCCAGTGCAAGGGAAAAACACTTTGCTAAACATCTCTGCTGCAGCTTGAAATCATCTGCTTGATGTCCTAGCCAAGCAGGATCAGTCAGTCATTCACTGCAACTTCACTTTTACAGGAAAAAAGTTGGCCTGCAATGTTTTTCTCAGGCCTTTTGGCAAAGTTGCAGTGATACAACCACAGAAAGCACATTAATCTTGAAGCTGGCCAGTTTGGATTGATGGAGCCTGTGGGAAGTAACCAGCCTGCCTCATGTGCATAAGACTGCACTGGTGAAAGGCTCCTCACTGTATCAGCAGTTCCCAGTGAAGGCAGCTACAAGGCCATTCATTACCTTTTCAGCCACAGGAGAGCCTCTGTAGCAGAGTTTCTAACTTGTGCTACACCTGCATTCACTTCATGGAGCACAATCTTCTGAAGGGTATCAAACTCTTCTTTGTTGGTTATAAATTTCTGGTTTATTTTCTGGAAAGAACATAATGGGCAAAGCTTTAAGTCTCTTAAGGCCCAACAGGGGCTTATAAATACCCTCTGTTTACCAGGACTCTTCCCTGCCAAGAGATACTATAGATTCCCAAGGATGTCACACATTCCCCATGGCACAGCATGGCTGCTCTGACACCCTGGGCATGCCATCCCAGCGCACACCCCAGACACATCTGGCTAACACAACCTAAATAAAGCATCTCAGTCAAAAATTTACATGGGACCTACCATTTCTGTCCAACAAAATGCTTCAAGTTCCCATGACATCCTCCCTACTGGAGGAAAGGAGTTAATTCAAACTGCTCTTCAAGCAAAGTTTCATTTGCCCAGAGCTTCAACTACAAGCAAAATTTACCTTCTGACCACTGCAAACTCTCAATATTACACTTAGCAGTGCTCAGCATGCCTATGGTTCAGTTTATTCCCAAGTTTCTGTACACAACTCCTCACGCAAACAAAAGAGAAAATATATAAAGGGCATACAAACAGATTTTTCTTCTACATTGAAGGAGTAGCTACCTATCACTTGACTATAAATATTCTATGGTTTAGTTTTTTAAATAGCATTCTTTTCTCTTGCTATTTTCAGTCTTCCAGTAGCTACCTTCTATAAGATAAGCAACCAAACAAATCTGATTGTATACAACATTCCTTAGCACACACTCAGAAGATATATTTTGCCTTTACTTCTTTTTTCTTGAAAGAAAATGCTACAAAAAATCTTGCTATGAACACATTTTGGCACATAACCAGTATTTCAAAGGTTCTTCAAGGTTCTTCAGAAGGTACTTGAAGCTGGAAGAACTTCCAGAACAAGAACCAAGCCTGCATGGGTTGCCCTAGTCTGCTGAGAAATTGCTTCTTAAACTGCTTCTCAATCCTACTTGATTGAGCAAAGGGGCTTTTCCTCCATCCCCTCCATTTGTTTTACAGGTTAAAGTCAACATTGCTAACATCACATCATGACTTATAACCTATACAGCTCAGGATCAAAGTCACACTCATTAGGTGTAACAGATGTTTTACTTGGCAGTCAATCAAGTATTTTATAAGTTTGCACACAAGTGGATTTATTAAACACAGCATGTACTGTCAGAACAGAATTAGGGGCATTTCAGTGTTTTAAGCTGACAGATGGTAACATTATCAAATATTAAATAACCTTCCAGTACTGACTCCTACCACATAGATTCTCGAGCACTCGGGTCTAAAGTAGATATTTTGTTTAAAAAATGAAAACCAGTGCTAGAAATGAGTTACCTTGATGTTGCCTACAAAATCCATTTTAACTGGAGCAAAAACAGTTGGTCCCAGCTTGTCTACGGAAAAAAAAGAGCCAGATTTTAAAATTGTCTCTTTTTCCAGTTCTCATGTTTTAGTAAAAATGAGTTTCATTTACTCATTTAACAAATGGCAGGAAAATACTAAATGAATGACAAACTGATCTTTTTCTCTGGTATAGAACTAATCCATCCCAGTTGCTACACATGTTAAAATTCTCTGACCTACAGTTCAGAAGTCTTCTAAAGGCTGCAGGCTCACAGAGCCACCACATCCACTAGATGGCAGGGGTCCAGCTGGTCGGGGGCTGTGCTAGGTGAAGATCAAAGTCTTTGGAAAAACGAAATAGAGGGTACAGCTGATGGTGTGCTGTCAGCTGTACCAGACTGTAAGGCATCTATGCTGCTTTTCTGAGGGGGAGAAATTGCTGTTCCATAGAGACACCTAGATTGCCAAACAGCTTATATGTGGATCCCATCTCAGTGAGAGTGGATCCTCTTTAAAGCAGAGGGGTAAGAAACACGTACTGGTACCAGTTAAACTGATTGTGGTTATACTGGTTCTATTATTTCACTTTAGTGAAGAAACAAATTTTCCAAGCCAACTGCTTCACCTTTGTTTGCTGCTAGCAGCAGTCAGAAGGAGTCAGAAGAAAAGCAGCTGCTTACCCAGAACAGGCACAATTGCATAACAGGACTCCAGGAACTCCTCTGTTGGTATGCCCTCCTCCTCCCGAAGCTCAATATCACTGAACCTGGTGTCCAGGACAAGCAGAAAATACTGTTACCTTAACTATTCTTTTTATATAACTGCCAGAAGCAAAATTGGATCTCCTGTCTGAGTTATTTGCATAGAGGGAAAACTTAGAGACATGAAACCACCAACATGGCTTTTGTATTACTATGTTAAAGTAATTGACTGCAGAGAACACACATTGGGTGGTGTGGAAGCAAGGCCTGCAATTACAAACAAGGAAAAACCTCCCACTTAACTCTGTACAGCTAATTTTACAAAAGATATCTTCTTCCAATTACTGCACTGTAGGCAGTCCTGTCAAATAATCTCAGTAAATACACAGCTTTACAGACAGAAAAGTTTTAAAAATAAGTCAATTTAAGGCTTAACATTAAGTTGCAATAATCCTTTTAATTGAAACTGTACTACCTATTGCTCATGACACTGAAGAAGGTAGGAGAATCATTTTCATTTCTTTCCTCCTCACACAGAGTCAATCCACTTAAAGAATTTGTTTCTGACTGCAGGATCTTGTGGGCACCACATCCTTCTACAGCTTGCAGCTTGTCCTCTCCATCATCTTTAATGCCTAACATTTACAGGAAACAAAAGATAAACAAAAAAAAAACCCCAGTTACATACACATATTATTATTCCTTTTCATCAAAATGCCTTTCTATTTGAAGAAGGGCACTTGGACATCAGGATAATGCAAGTTTAAAAGCATCCCTGCTAGCACCACTGCAGGTTTGGTAGATGCTCAGACCACATTTCAAGCAGTCACCCCCCATTTCTTTTAATCAGACAGACCAAGCACCAGGCTGCAGTACAGGTGAGCCCACACAACCTCAGCAAGGACAGTCTTGTGAGAAAGAAGAGCACTGAAGAAGCAATTTGCTGCAGCAGGGAGCTGACTCATCTCCTTGAAAGGAAGATTACTACTCACATGGTTGTAACTTTCCCAGTATTGCTGAAGTGCCACAATGCATTTTCAAAAGCAAAAGAATAATAGTAACATGTTTACTCCTTCTGATAGGTAAGCAAATTGGCTGCTTAAATGGACACTTACATGTTATCAAAGGTTGCTATGTTCTCCCTGATTTCTATAAATATCTTTAAAGTTTTCCAGAAAAAGATCCAGGTATATCTTCCCTACTGTGGTTGGTTTTACTTCTTCTTTGGGGCCAAGTACATCTGTTTCACATAAAGTACAAGGAAGACAAAGGAAAGAAAATCTTTCATATACATCCCTTACAAGGTAAGACCTTTGGACCTCATGGAGAACTTCAGAGAACAAGTAAAGAAGGAAAAATGATTCACAGCATCTGCATCATACAAGCCATAGCTACAGCACATCTTGCTGCCAGACTGTCAAACTAGCATCCAGAATTTCCCAGGGAACCTGTCTTTCCAGGAAAGGAATACTCTCAAGTGTCAGTGAGGATTAAAGAGAGACATGAAGTGGAACTGAGCTTCTGGTTGAAGGGATCAAGCTGCAAGGAACTCTCTTCCTCCAGGTGACAACTGAGAGCAGGCTTGCAGCAGTGCCAATTAGTTGCAGAACCACTGAACAAACCCGGTGCTGGGTGAAAAGAAAACCCCTCATACCCAGACCAGCCACTCTCCAGCCTCAGACATCACTGACATTCCCAAGCAAAGTGTCTCTGCCAAGGAATGACATAGGTTTGAGTGATGCACTGATCTGTGCTTCACCAAGCCACAGGCTGGGGAGTAGAGAAACAGCCCAGGTCTGCAGTGACACTGCAGGAGTGCTATGCAAAAACCCCGGGTCCTCTGAGATTTCAAACTCAAACACCATAAGCCCTAAATGACAGAGAAAATTGCTATGGGACTGAAATGCTCAAGCACTTTCAAAGACTGACTGCTCTTAAAAAAGGGGAGAGGGAAGAAAAAATATCTGAGACAAGGCAGAGCTCTTGGGGTCAGAGGGAGCACCCAGGTACAGCCATCAGCAAGACAAAGCCCACGGGCTGGCTGGGTCAGCCCACCCTCTATGGATGGCCTTGCACATCCTAACTTTTCCCCATACTGATAGCAAAACTCTGCAGCTCAAATATCTATACCCAACAGGGGGTAGCCTTTTCTCTTTTGTGCACAGGAACCACAGGAGCTAAATGACACCAAAAACTTGAATTAGTTTGATGCCCTTGCTTTAGTGCTGTTTTATTGATATTATGCTAGAAGGTGTCATGTGTTTGTTATCCTGCAGGGACTTGCCACATTATGTAGTACCAACCCCAAAAATGGGAAAATTCCAAAGAGAACCCACAAGAGCAAAATGACTATCATCGTTAATTTGGACTTAAAAACTTCTGCTGACTCACTGACTGCATATTTATGTTTTGGAATAACAGCCAGGCAGAGAAAGCCACTGTTCAAGAACAGTACAGTCCATTCAAGAGGATGTGCAAAAATGATGTTACATGAATAGTTATCCAAATTAAGTTCAGCAGCCCTGAACAATATGAGCACATGGGAGGGAATTTTATACTGAATTAGTTCAACAGTATTTCACTGAAGTTGCACACAAATCTAACTTTCACACCATTGCTAAGATAAAGGAAGAAATAAGATGCTTTCTAGGATACTCTTAGTTGCAGGAAAAGAGTTAATTTTCTGTAAACATTTGTCAGAGCAGTCAAGAGTGACTAAAAGTTCAAGCCCTCAGACACACACACAAAGCTCCCACAACCTCTTCTGACACTGCAGCCCTACATACCAGCAGGGAATGATGTATCTGTCCACAGTGCCTGGAGAGCCCAAGCCCTGCCAGCCTTCAATCTGCACCTGGAGAGCCTCAACTTGTCCAAAACCAAATTTTTGATCTCTTTCTCCATTGAGTCCCAAGTTAGCCATCAGCAAAGGCAGCAGGAGCTATGCTGAGAAAACTTGCAAGAGGCAGTATCAACTAAAAGACTGATATTCCCTCTCCTGGGAGTCAGGGATCAGCAGTCTCACAAGGAGCCTACACCTTCCTTAATTTACACCTACAGAATAATCATTGTGGACAAAAGACTGTGCATATACTTACCTGCCAAATCCTTTGCTATATGATCGTCAACATAAACATCACCAGCCCCCTCATTTGTTTCCAAGTTTAAACATTCCATATTTTTAATAACTGCTTGCTCTTGATGGGTAATTTCTGATTTTACACAGCCATTTTCACAGGGGCTCAATTCCACCTGCCTGAAGAAAGGGAAAGAATAATACTTAGTGCATAAAGCATTGCTTGGTAAGCTTCTTCCTGTGAACACACAAATAACAAGAGAAAAACAGTTGACAGAAGTTACAGGCTGCCACAGGCTGCTCTGAGCAAAGAACTTGTCTAAAATAATAACAAGAATGAGGCAGCTTTTTGCAGTAAAGAGGATTAAAGACTCAATCTCAGCTTGCAGAGTTCAAGTATATTTACAATGATCTTTATTAAAAAGGTACATAATAATACGATTACAGAAAAGAAAATTGCAGGCAGGCATTGTAACTTGTAGAATATCCCCTCATTAGTACTTTAAAATATACATCCTTGCCACCTACTCCAGGAATCAGTCTGCTCACCATCAATGATTCTTATGAGCTTATGGAGTGGAACCAAAAATGCAGGAAGGAGCACTGAAGTGGGAGAGTTGGCTGGTGACTGAGCAGTAAGACAACAGGTGGACTGCAGAGAAAAATGAAAGGGAAAGGGCTGATACAGAAGAGACATGAAGTGGGATGAGCCAGATCCCTTTTGTTTCACCTGCTTCCAAGTAGGCAGCTCAGAGCAACACAATTCTGCCTGCATCCAGTGAGAGCAGAGTAGCAATAAGGAAAGAACAGACACTACCAAACACAGATTAGAAAAAGACTGACAGTAAAGACTTCTGTTATACCTTTCTGTTGAGGTGTGACTGGACAAGACAGAGTGCTTTACCTGAAAGATATGGAGGGGGTAGAATATTGTTTAAAGCAAGAAGACTGTATCATGCTTTTTAAACTTCACATTTTATTAAATACAAGTTGGAATCAGCAAAAAAACCCTCCCTAATTCTCTCACCTGGAGGCAGTATAAAGACAAATCTGAAAATGGTGCTACATTATTACACCATTACAATATTGTAAAGAAAAAAAGAAAAAGGAAAAGAAAGAAAATCCGAAGGTTTCTTTCAGAAGGTAGTTAGCAAGTGTCAAGTGAGACACCACACAGCATATGAAAGAGAAACAATGCAGTGAGCTTCCTTTGCAATGTTTTCTTTACTTAATCAAAAAGCTTTGAAAAAAATAGAGGAAACATGAAGCTAGATATCAGGTATGGTGAAGTAATCCCATCTCTCAGATGCAGTCATGCATCCACCTTCCTACATAGATCTTAACTTCCTGTTTGCCAGAGATGCTCCAGTTTTCCATATATAGTTATGGAACCAGGAATCAACAAAGTGCCCTTCTCATTAGAAAGCTGAACTCTTCAGCTCCCACTGACATATTAGCACACATCCAATACTGCTGTAGCTTAACAGAATAATAATTGCTGTGAGCTCCCACATGGACAAACCTGCTGCAGAGCCAAGGTATTTTGAAACACCACTGCATGACTTTCTGTGAAACACCACTATGCAACTTTCAGGCTCTGAAATAACTTTCACCTGTCATTAAAGTTTAAGAGATTGATCACTGCTTATTAAAAAAATGGTGCTACCTCACTTGCAAACCACAAGAAATAGCAGAGTATGTCCACTGTAGGACCAGTAGCTATGATATGGGTAAATAGGCATTCCCTATTTCTACAAATGTTACTTTTGACAAAAGGACTCACTAGCATCCCTGCTGAAGCTGAGAGAAGAAGATACTGGCCATTACCTTGCTTGTTCTGAGAACTGCTAAATTTGGGGATCCAGGTGGGGTCTGATGCAGTAACTCAGAAGTGAAGGCAGTATTTGCAATCTGCATACATTCTTCAAGAGTCTTCAGGAAAGTGTCACAGGTTGATTTCAACAGAGCTCCCATATCAATCTCACTCTGTGGGAAGAAATCAATTGGAAGAAATAGACTCACCACAGAAGATCAATTTGGAGCAACTAATGTCTGCAAAGCCCACAGCTTCTACAGCTGTGATTTCTGGCTAACATGAATTAAAATTCAATGTGTCAGCTGCTCAGAAGACTGGCATCACATATTTCTGTGGCTATTACCCCTCTTTTCAGCCTCTCAGTGCAAGCAGCTTAATATGCTTGCGTTTTGAAATCAATGCCTCTCAGTTATCTTACTGGTGTTAGAAGTGCATGACATACTAAGCCTGAACGTATTCAACAACAGCATTCCAGGAAACACCACTGACAGGAGATATGAAAAGTAAACAAACTAAATAGATGTAGAACGATCTGCAGATGATCATTTCAAAAACCTCATCAACAAAAATTTATTGGAAATGACAAAATGCAGAATGAGGTATCACATTGCCTCTTCATCTCTGCAAAGTGAGTTATTGTTGCTGAAATGCTTTTAGCAATAAATCTTTGCAGTTAAATGCCAGTAAGATCAGGGAAAGAGAGTCTTCTCCCAGATGCATGAAATATGAGCAGGATAAACACCACATTACAGGCCAACATCTGTGAGCTGCAAGTTCTAACAGTGCCTTTTAGTCATTTGTACACCACATCATGCTTCTGCACTGTCTTTTAATTCACCTTACACAGTTTCTGAGGTATCTTTACAGAGATGGTCTGGACACCAACCATCAACCTTCAGGTGTTTTGCCTGCTTGTTCTGCATCTGAGGACCCATCTCTCCAGTGGGAGGCACCCTGGAACTCCACACCAGCTTCTCTAGCAAGGGAAGTGCATTCTTCCTCACACATTTCTCTCTCAAACCAATCAGATCACGGTCTTTAGGAGATCCCTCTTAAATGAGGCTTCTTTGGTCACAAAGATTTGCAAGGCTTGAAACTTTAACTTAAGTGAGGCAAACCAAGCAGCTCTTTATCTCACTTTTGCTCTTTTTGTGGTCTGCAACATCTCTTGACCTTTTAAGGGTTTTGGATGTGTTTTGCTGAGCAGGATATTAATGACTCAAGCAGAAAAATGTGTGCTTCATGCAAATTATCTTTTTATAAAAGATCTTTTGCTTTTTTTGATCCACTGTAAACACATCACCTACAGGGCTGTTACTGTCTAAATCACAGGTATCAGATCTCATCTCACTACTTGCTAGCCCTACAAAGGGCAAGTCATTTGCTACAATATAGTAACACTCCATTTAAACAAGAACTGCTGTGTGAGCACTTTATTTCCCCCAGGTTCTCTGCAGAAGGAGGTTGCAACATTAAGTAACTGCGAGTGAATACTACATTGGGTATCCAGAAAAGTTCATGCATCCAAGACATTACACATGTGGTCTATAACAAAAATAGAGCTGTACCTCTGGTTCTGACACACCAGAAATGCTGGCTTCCTTTGTTTTATGCACTTGCTGAACAAGGAGGTTACAGTACAGTCTAAGTTCAGACATTTTGGTCTTCAAGGCTTCTGTGTTTTCAGTGAACTCTGAAAGTTAAACAAAAGAAAAGTTAAATTTACTGTATCCAGTGCAAGGCAAGGACAAACATTTGGTCTTAGGAGGCCTTTTAAATAGGAGAAAAGCCCTACATATAATATGCTTTGTTTTCACAAAGTAGTTTAAGCTGTAGCAATAGCATTGTTTAGATAGGGTCGTAGGTAGGAAACACTGGACATAAAAGATGAATTCTATCCAACAGAAAGGGATTAATTTAGTACAGATATCCTTGAATCATGGGATGGATGAGATTGGAAGACACTTTTGGAAACCAGCTAGTCCTGCTCCACTGTTCAAGGAGAGTCAGAGCAAATTACTCAGGTCTAGTCAGGTTTTGAACAGTGCCAAGGATGGAGACTACACAACAACTTCTGCGCAGCCTTTCAGTGCTCCCTTGCCTTCACAACAAGAACATTTTTTCTTATGTTTCAATTGAGTGGTTTGTATCAAAATTCATGCAGATCTTCTCTTGTTCATTCCATGAGAAGAGTCTGGCTTCATCTTTTTATGCTCTCTCACTAGATATTTCCTTTAATCATCTTAGCAGCCCTTTGCTGGACTCACTCCAGTGTGTCCATATGTTTCTAGTTCTGAGAAACAGAGACTGCAGAACTGAGAAGACTAATCCTGATGAGATTAACAGACATTCTGAGATTTTTCAGAAGTAATGTTTTTGATATTAGAGTCTCTGAATTATAAAATAAATTGTCTCTCAGTAATGTGGTTTAGTTCTGCAACTACATTACTAGCTGTTCACCCTGTGCTACTACATGTCACTTTACAGATCCAACTTTGTTCTGCTTCTAGGCACTGCACATCAGATCCCATCTGGTGAAGGACTCTACAGCAGCATCTTCTGCTCATCTTCTGACTTAGTTTGAACCAGTAGATGCAAAGCCTGGAGATAACACACATAAGGCTAAGAGGAGAAGCAAGTCCTCACCTCAGGGAAAGGAAGTGCTTGCCACGCCCTGCATTTACTCAGGACATCAATAATTTGCTGTTTTCCCATCTTCCGTACAGTCACTGTGCTGAGGTTACACAAGGTTAAGGCATGAGGCCTCACAATGCTCTGTGATGCCACACTTGTAAGCAAGAGGGGTTTTCATTGGGGGAGGGAAGTGAGATTGCTGACGAAAGCAAAGTGGTAAGTGAATTAATTTTCACAGCCTGACCATGATCAGATTTAAGTTTCTGGTTACTAACAGATTTGGAACTCAGTGCAAATCTTTTCTTAATCGCTGAAGCAATTCTCAAAGTGCAGAAGACAGCCCAATTAGAACATGGAAACATGTGAGGAACTCCAAAGCTGAAGAGACACTGGTGTGAGAGGCTGGGTCATCATATTTAGGCAGCTGTACAAGGTGAGGGTATTACATTCTCGTACAGTTTGCATCACAGTGACCCCTAGCCAGGGATTATTTACTCACTGTGCTTACAGAACCCATCAGCACATGGTTCTCAAATTGTTTTTATATAGCGTATTTTAACAACACCCCGACGTTTCCAAATCCCTGCCCTGAGAATTAATACCTGAGATTTCTAGTTAATATTCACATGTGTCTTAGCTTTCAGCAGCACCAAAGACCTGAAGCACAGGCTGGACACTGAAGTTGTCCTATGCACATGGACAAGGCAAAGCATGGGGAAATATAAAGCAAACATTATGTGCTAGCAAAAAGGTGTTCTTGCCTTTTTCCTTTTGTGTCCTGCTGTCAGTCAGACAGGCTTTGGCAGTTCCAAGTGCAACCAGCCACTTTTGCCTTTCAACTGCATTTCTTGCCTTCAGATAGAAGTACTGCTCCCCTGGGATAATCAGGTCCATTCGTGTGTTATCTGCAGGATGAACTGAAAGCAACAGATTTCAGACCAGCCCCCTGGCCCTTCCCAGCCCAACCAAACATCCCAACACACATGTCAGGTGGCAGGTGAGACAGAAATGAAAGAGGAGAAATCTATGGTCCCAACTTCCCCCACTGCCATTTTATGACTTCTCTTCTGAGTTAGGGAATGGACAGGATACACATGTGTACAGTTATGAAAGACAGTTTTGTGATCAACATAATCTGAGAGTCTATGGAAAGGGCATCCTTTTCTGGCAAATCTCTCTTTCAAGCTTCCAGCCCTTAAGTGAACCTCAAAAATGTAGCAATATGACTGAGCACACCTAATACTGAAGTTTATCATTCATGTTTCTAGCTTCAGCTCCATGCTTATGAGGAGTCATTTAAAGCTGTGTGATGTTCCACCACAGCTCATGAAAAGCAGTGACCCACCTGCACGTAAAATATCCATGATATTAGAGACTTGCAGTTCACTCAACGTTTTCAAAATACTGTAGCATAAAAACTATATTTTTATAGAGTGTATTTTAAGAAAAAAACAAAGTCTCCAAATCCCTGCCCTGAGAATTAATACCTGAAGTTTCTAGTTAATATTCCCATATATCTCAGCTTTTAGCAGCACCAAAGACCTGAAGCATCAAGTTATTGCAAATACATACCAGAGAAATCAAGCTGCCAAATAGCTCTTGTCACCTGAAATCTCATCTTGAATGCAACATTATCAGACAAACTTAATGCAGCTGAGTGTTACTGTATCTTAGTTACCTTGAATTTCACAAACAGCCATTTGGATGCTTCCCTTACAGCCCTTCCAGGCATCTTCCTGAGAGTCATAATAGGACAGGATGCCACCACAGAGAAGGAACCACCGAGGTTGCCAGCCTGAAAAACAAAACTGCATTTCTCAGTTACGCCTCTCCCTGCAATTCCACCATCTCTCTCACTTGAGACTTGCTGCAAATATGTCTCCAAAGATTCTCAGTCCCCCTGGAAAACCAAACCCTTTGAAGTATTACGATTTGTGGACAGACGTGGATGTTGTACACCATAACTCCTGCTTTCTGACACCTACATGTCCATTCTGCACACAGCTGAAGCACAGCAGCGTATCTCAAGATGCCATATGTCATTTTCAGTAGTTTTGCTAACACAGCATCACTGACTCACTCTGTTTTCCAAAACCACCTTCTCAGTTCAGCACCCCTCAGCTCCTTCCACCACACCTCAACCCACCTCTTCACTCTTCCCAAAAGCCACCCCTGCTGTCTTGCCTTCCAAGTCCTCCTCCCTTGAAGGAAGGGCTAGCCAGGTTATCTTGAACAACAACATGTAAGAATCTCTTAAAAACCAACAGACGAACCGAGGCGGATCTGTTGATTTCTGAACATTCTGAATGCCATCTTTCAGTGAAGCAGTTTTCAACAGCTCTTGAAACTCCTTGTGCTGCCCACATAAAACATAGTCTTGAATTACTGACCTGCACTTCTGGATACCTTCCCAGAGAAAAACCAAAACAAGACTAGACCAACACCAGTAGTTCTGGGTACACTTCTGCCCACCCTGCTGCCCAACTTTAGAAGTAAATCAGCCTTTTTTTCTACTTTTGGAAGCACCACAGCAGTATGAAAAGATAAAACCAAACACAACCTGACAGCTGCCATTTATGTCTAATTAAAAGCTACAAGCTCATTAACTTAAGAAGAAATGAGGCAGCAATGTCACTGTAGGAAAGCAGCTTTCATTTACTGAGCTGTAACAAGCTTCCCTGGCCAGGTCCAATGGATTGAGGTTCTGACACTCCCACATTGTGCCAGACAACCATCTCTGAAAGAAAACACTTGGACAAGATGCTGTGGGCCACATGGGCTCTTAGATATTTTGGCAGATATTTTCACTTCTGCTGTCCCCTGCACCAGGGCCCCGCCAACCAGAACTGTGCGGCAGGAGCCCAGGCTGGGCTTGGACTGATACCACATTGGAGGAATGACAGCTCCTTTCCACCTAGAAATTACTTCCTTAGACAACTGCTGAAGCCAAGCACAACACAGTTTAAGATTAGAAAGGCCTAAAGCCTCAGGCTAACAGCAGGAGTATGGTCTGGCTTGCCCCCTCTGCTTTACTTTTTTTATTTTTTAATCAATACCACTGCATTCAGTCCAACCCAGTTTATAGATTGCTGAACCCTGTGTGGTGGCTGGAAAACAAATTAAACATAAATAATATTTCATTCCCTTCTAGAACTCTTCCATTATTTCCCAGAAGATGATAAAAATGTCAAAAATCCGAAGTACTCTCAACACTTCTTTACTTCATATGAAGGGGGGAAAATCACAAGAATGAGAGAAAAAATAAAATCAGCAAGACTGGTTTCTATTTGTCTTGCTTCCAAAATAAAGCAACTATGCTGAAAGTCAGTGCTGATATGTGAGAACTCACAAAAAAAGGAAGTGATTGTTCAGCAGAGAGAAGCAGTTAATTGCTTCAGACACTCAATGGCACAGAACCAATTCTTTAAATAATGCACAGTGCCACAGTCAATACAAGCCTCTAATTCAGTCTGGAGCTCCTGCTGCTGCACATGAATCATTTCAGCCATGGTCCTACAGCTCACAATTGCAGCTGATGCTCAACCAAACCGTGCCCCATCCATCAAAGGCTGTGCAATCAATTAGCCAACATACAAATCACTCTGCCTCCATCACTTTGGAGGCTGGCTGAAATATGTTGTGAATGAATATATTTTTTGAGATTTTTATTTTGTTGGTTGTTTTGGTTCTGGGTCTTAGGGTTTTTTTTGTGGGGAACAGAGCAACTACCTGTATTCCTTTGCAGAAGCCAATTGTTCTTTAATTATTAAATACATATTAAAAAGATTGTGATAGACAATTTTTACCTAGGACAATAGATATTTTCAGAACAGAATTGTTACACTAATAAAACCACTTTTTTTGTAAAAGGGAAATAATTTTCAAAAACCTCACAGCAAGGTTCTGTCAGAAGATGCATGAACCACCTGTACTCACTGACAGTCAGCAGCCATGGGAAGGTTATCATAAACAATCAGCTAAAAATAGCATGTGGCTGACAAATCATGGGCACTGCACAGGGATACAATCTTTAATTACAGGAGCTTCACTTCTGCAGACAAGTGAAGAATGGAGGAACACAAAAAAAACCAAAACAAAAACCAAAGCAGCAAAAAGATACTCAGGCACTTCCAATAACACAAGTCTTGGGTTTATTCAGTGTTATTTGCCTCCTATAAATTGTCATAGGAATATTGCAATTTTTGGAACTGAGCATTCAGATTTCACCTGATGCAGAAAGGTAAAGCTGAACCTTTTAAGGTCTTACTGGTGCCAGCATTATCCCAACTTTGAAGAAGAATTTAAGTCCATTATACTGGTGGTGCACAGGCAGGAAAAAATACAGCTGGTACTTCCAACATCTCATTTTAGAGGCACAGTACCATTAACAGTAAAAATTGACCTTGGTGGGAAAGGTATGTACAAAAAAAAAAACCCAATAAAGCACAATGCACAATAAAAAGTGATTAGTAGCTTAAGGTCTCAGCCATAGAAGAGAGTGAAGATATTCCAGATGACTTCACAGGCACTGGTTGAAGTACACATTGCACTCCTGTGTGGAACAGTTAGTGCCTGCAGTATCTTGAAGATTTGATATTGTCCACTACAAAATCAGATATTTAAGTAGTCTGTGCCTGCTAAGGATTCACTACTTCTCGAGAAGTTTCCACAGAAAGAAAGATCTGCCTACTTCCATCATTACACTTTAGGAAATCTGGATGTAGCTATCACTGAGCAAACTTGACATTTCTTGATAACACAGCTGAAACTTGGACATAATTCAAACTTTAATGTTATACAACTCAGACTCCAGACAGCATTCCTTCCAAAGAGCCAAGCCTGGAGAAAAGAAAAACAAAACCAACATTTGAAGACATGTAGATCATGTCAGACATCTACAAAGCCAAGCTGGGAGAATTACATACTCAAGAAGTCAAATTGATGACCTGGAAAACAAGCTGCAATTAAGAGACACCAATTCCACCTGCATTTCTAAAATGCATAAAGCCCAGACATCCAGATTTTTATTACTGCTTACTTTCCATGAGAATTATGTAGCACTTCAGGCCTATTAATTTCTTGAGCTTCAGAATAAGTTTTTGTAAAACTTTTGCAGTAGAGAGTCTTTGGACTCTTTGACCCTAATCCAGACTTTAACTGCAGACAGGAGATAATGATGGACTTTCCATGTTACAACATCTGTCTAATAGGAGTCAAAGCCACCACCACCTCCCTACTGCTTGTAACAAGGGCAAGATCCAAGACTTGGCTACAGGGGGCATAGCAGGACAGATTGCTGTTTTAATGTGCAGGGTCACAAAGAAGTCCCAGAATGGCTGCCCTGATAGTCAGAGCCATGCCACAGTGAGAATGAGCACTATCCATGTTTCATCCCACCCTGAGTAAATGTAAACTGTGCCATGTGCTCACTGTCCCACCATCTCCAGCTTTATCTCCCAAGGACACAGCTCTGCCCAGAGCTGTGTCAGTGACTGATAGCTGGGCAAGAACTGCTGAAAACTCAGCTCTAGCAGGGCAAAGACACTGTCAGTCAACCAGGTTTCTAGTCAGCAATTAGCAAGAAAGGATCTTACACAGATCAAACCTCACACTCTTCCCCTTTTTTCCCATTCAAGGACACAAGTAAAATATTATCCTGACATAAGCATTTTGCACTCAAAACTGGCGCCTACTTTTTCTATACAGCCTCCTAAGGTTACCCAGAATTTTGGGAAGGGCAATCCCAGGTGCCAGACACATTTTGCAGCCTTAATTCTATAGCAGAACAATTTGACAGGATAAAAATCCAGTTTGTATCCACGAGGAACAGCAGAAAGGCAGACAAGAGTGTGTAACAATCTATGCCTCTTCTGTGAGCTATTATCCTGTCACCTAGAGAGCAGCTTCTGGAAATACCCATACTGCAATTTTACTCTGGTTATGTGCATATTAACAGCAGGAATCAATGCAAAAAGCCCCTAAAGGTAATGAAGTTCAAAGATTTAGCACCTTAACAATGGTACCACTTTTTAAAGCACTTGCTTGAGGGACACTAGAGATTCAAGTGAAGGAAGCAACAGCTGGAACAGGCTTTAACACAATGACCTTCTCCCAAACGATTTTTCTCACAGGGATTCCATGAAGTCCATTTTTGTTTCAATCACAATTGTTAGGGCAATGTCAGCAGCACTGAAAGAGCATCCTGTCATCACAGGGCAACTGGGTTTGTTTGCAAACGATTTTAGGGCAGTGCCCAGCCAGGGCACAGAGAGCACAATGTACCAGTGAGGCATTTTGGAAGGGGATGCAGTGGAAGGATGAAGGGCAGAGAGGGGATCGTGGTGGAGGCAGAAGTTCAATAACACAGGCCCTCTGCTCAGACACTAACTCAAGCAATACAAAGCTCCTGGGAGTTTTCCTCCTCTGTTTATGTTTCCCAGCCTCAGCAACCGAGCTGCTCCTCTCTCTGACCCCTGGGGTGGTTATCAGGCCAGACTGAGTTAACACACTGGATTTATGTAAGCGCATACAGATACCACATGATGGTATCTCCTCACCATCAGTCTACCACACCTTTGGTTTCTGTCCTACCCAGCCATTTCCTGTGATCACTTACTCACCTCAGTGCAGAGGGACTGAATGCAGCAGCACCAGTACTGCAGCATACCTGGCAGGGAATGGAGGCTCTGCAGCACTGCTCTGACACAGAAAGAGGGGACACAGATTTCCATTCCTGCAGCCTCATCAAACTTTTCTACTGTGAGCACATTACATAATTCCAAAAAGGCTGGACAAAAGCAAGGTTGCTGCATGAAGCAATACAGAAGGAAAGGGAAAAAAATAATGAGAAAGGTCAAATCACACAAAGACAACGAAGCAAAATCTAAAGAGAATTAACTAATCAGTCCCTGAAGTATACTGCATGAAAAGTCTCATCCAGCCAGAACTGGCTGAGAGTCAGGCATCTAAACCAACACCTGGATCCTGAGAGCAGCCACAGCCAATAATAGAAGGCAGACCATTGCCCTGAAGGCAATAGAAACCTCAGCTGTCTAGGTCCACCTCCACAAAAACCAGACTTCTAATTTTATACAATCAGAACTTGGACTATACCCAGAGGCTAAAATGAAGGAGGAAATTATAAAAGGCTTTTTAGAACCAAGTCTTTCTCTAAGTGTGAAGTTTTTGATTAATTCCTCTACGTCTGGAAACAGAGGAGCTTATTTCCAGAGCTTGATATCAGCTGGAAGGATATGTGTCTCTCATCCCAAGAGGTCAGATTTCTTAAACTCCCAAAACAAAGACTTGCTCTAAGCAATATCATGTGCATCCAGATCCAAGATACAAGAACTAATGCTTTTTCTCATTTTCTTGAGCTCTACCCCCAAGTTTATTAAGGAAGCCTGAATCATTAAAGACAAGAGCAATTCAAAGTCTTTTGTGAAAGCTGAAATATACTGCTTGGTGTTGGCTCTTGGTTTATCTTGGGATAAACTGAAAAGAATCCAAAGTACAACAATAAACTGAGAGGGGATGGTTACATACAGGTAGATGGGGAGAGCTATCTGAAGTATGTGGTGATGGCATGAAGGTGAGTCTCTCATGCCTTGGGGAAGATTAATTACTTAGGGGTAGAACTACTCACCACACATAAGAAAGTGAACATTTAAATATCAGGAAAAGCTTAGTCTTGCAAAGGAAAGTGATCAAAGCCATTTTATGGAGCACCTAACAAATACCAGGCAAGCCAGAGGAATTAGTCATTTTCATGGAATGATGAAGCTGCCTTTGAACCCCACAGCCAAGAGCTGATCCATACCATTCTTCCAGAGTTAGCAGCAATCCTGCCTGTGGCCAGCCATTCCAGATAGGGTGTGTGCCTGCACTGAAGAGCTAAACTGAACTGTATTTCAGCAGAAAGAAAAAAATCAACTTAAAAGTGCCAAGTTCTCACACACCATTGAAGGGAGGTATTCCCCAACTCCATGCAGCTTCCCAGCAATAGCTTACTCATTCTATTAACCTGATGAGAAAAAAAAATAATCTATGCCTTTTACAAGCTTAATCCCAAAGACTAAATCCATTTATTTTATTAACCAGAAGTTATGCTCAGCAAAGAGCACACACTGCAGGTTAAATTCAGAGAGTCCCATGGGAGGCAGTTTCCAAGCAGCCAAGAGCAGCCTTCACGTGCAGCTCAGCTTTGCTCTGTCCTTTCTCTATCCTAGCAGCAGCATTCCCCAGCTGGAGATCAGTCACGCCGTGACTCTGCAGCCAGGATCTGCCTTTGATGCTGCCCACACCAGAATGGCTTGTGCTCAGCCAGGACTGCAGGCAGTGGCAGCACAACAGACCGAGGGGCTACAGGGAGGGCACACGGTGACACTTATATCATTCCAATTGCTCACTACAGCAAGAGGCACTGAAACAATAGTTACACACCCATCCCCAGCCCCCACCGAGCAAAGCCAACATCAGATAGAGACTTCTGGCAAAGGATGAAATCTAGGAATTTTTTAAGATCATGTTACATGCTTTGACTATAAGCTCAGCTGAGGCCAACTTGCATGCCTGCATGATTTAAGTCACCCTGCTCTGGGTTTTGAGGATTAATAATTTGAAGTTTGCAGATGCATTATATATCTGCCCAAGAGGAAAAGTGCTGTCTCCCTTTATATGACAAAAATTCTGCTTGCAAAGTTCCCTGCTCTCTTAAGGTTTTAGCCAATTTAGTGGGGGAAGCATAGACAAGAGCAATCAAAAGACACACACCGCAAACACAAGATCCCAACAGATTTTCATAGGCTAGAGCTTTGTGAATGTATATCTGAACCAAAGATGGCAAACTTCACTTGAACTTAAACAGAAGTAACACAGTGAGAAATCACTATCTGGTGGCCATTGCATTAGGGGACAGAAAAACTCTAAAAAATCACAGTTTTCTAAACTCAAGAGATTTCCGAGTTAGCACTGGAAACCATGCATAGAGAAACAACAATGTGAGTGCAGGATCAACACCAGAGGAAAAACCCTACCTCTAAGCAGAAACCAAGTAATACTGATCTAATTTATTCTAATCTATATAAAGCAAACAAGTGCATTTATTACAAACAAGATAACTTGTTTAAGCAGTAAGGCAAACTGACCTGTCTTTCAATTGGCAGCAATCATGGTGTGCTTTTTCTGCCCTTTGCCCACAGAAAACCAAACTTGTTTCCTATTTCTGAAACGCTCCTGCTGTCAATAACTATGTAATTTGCAACACAGATCTAGCTCTGGGCCCAAGAGCTGGGAGGAAATGGGCTGATGTGGACTTGACCTCTCATGATGGCAATGACATAAGACGTTACGAAATCAAAATTCCCAGAAAAGACTCAATTACCCACAAACTCGCATCAGCTCCTCTCTCACAGCAAGAAGGAAAAGCAGTTCTTTTCTACAGTTTTATGCTTGCTCTATCTCTTCTCTGACTGTGAGGGGTCCTTCTCATTCTGAGGTACATCAGCAGTGTGTTATTAGCACAGGCACACACCAACACAGAAGGATGACACACAGTTTCCCCACTTTTTGCATGCATCGTTTACACTCTACTGCATCTGATTCATCAACCTTGAGCAACAGGAAAAGCATACTGGGGGCAGAATACTGGCAGAAATACTGTTCTGGATGACCTGTTGAACCTTCTTACTTCCCATAATCCCCAAAAGGATGTTTTCCTGTCTCACTCTCCAGCTCTTTGTTATTGCTACAATGATCGCCACATTCCAGAATGAAATTTTTTTTCTTTTTGCATCTCTGCATAAATTTGTAACTTAATGGCTTCAGGGCAGGAAGTCTTCATTTTGCAGCAAAAGAAAGCACCAGTATGTACAGACAGCTTGCAGAACAGCAAATTTACTGTTCTCAAACACACCATGGGCCTTCTACCACTTAACAAAAGGCAGAGAGTGACCTTGACCATGACACTTACTGGAAGAGTCAAGTTTCAACCAAGAAATTAGAAGGATGCTTCAATCTTCCATCACAGATTTTCTCTGTGTTGACAGCAAAACCTCTCCTAGTTTTCAGCCAGTACAAGTCTTACATATGCAAGGAAAAGTTTCCTTCAGTCTGCATTCACTTGACTGAGGTTTGCAAAGCACTATCCTTCTTCATGCAGGGTCATTTGACTGGAAGTGCTTATCAACGTGGCTAGCAAAAGAAAATTTTGATGAAAACAGCATACTTCTTAGTCTTCATCTTGCCATCAAAACAGAAGACCAGCTGATCCTACAACAAGCACACTCAGGCACTAAAATGTCAAATGCCAGTCAGTTATCTACAACATGCATTGTTTCCCACAGACACACATTCCCAGGTCTCATGGCATGAAACCAAGCACAAGGGTTCCAGACACACCCCAGCACCTCAGCAATGCAAAGAAAAACATGTAAAACTTTCGATCAGCTGAACCATAGGTGGTGTTAGTATGGGGAAAGGACTAACATCACTCCCACAGTTCTGCAACTCACATGAAAAGAGGCAAGCATGGCTGCTCCTACTGCCACTTCATAATTCAAGAGCATTCACAAATAATTAACAACAAAAGAAAAAAATCCACGTCTGTTCACTGAGACCTGACAAATTTTGATTCTCATCTCAGAACACCTCTTGCCTAAAGGGGAAATGTCACAGCAATCTTCCAGCACAGCAATAAATCCAGCCCCGTGCACCACTGCTGCCCCCCCATCCCTACCCCACGAATTCAACACTCACTTGTGCTTCAGCTTTTTCTTTGTTTAATTTTGATTTCCTCCACTTTCCTAGCTAGCCAGAGTGCTGCAGCTGTTCCAGCCTCTCGGGAGAAAGTCCAGCAAGGCGGCAGCCCCTACACAAACACACACTCACACACACACTGCTGAGCAGCACTCGCACCTGGCGATGGCAGCGTGGTCGTGCTTACTTCTCTCTGACCTTCAAGTTCCCAAACTGTTCCCACAGACCACCCAGAGGTTTGCACCTGGCAAGACCTCATCCACAGCCCCAAACCACACACCTCTGCCCCACCTGACTCGAAGGTGACATCCCATGGGAACGCGGGGGGCTTCTGACCCCACCACCTCCAACCTCTGCCGAGCAAACCCTGGCCACACACGGCTGCTTCCAACCTGCCATGACAATCAAGCCTTCCGTGGCACGGGAACACTCGAAAAATTAAAATTTGGGCCTAGAGCTAGCCGGTCAAACCCCCTCCACCTTTTTTCTTGTCTTTCAGATTTTCTGCATGCCTTCTTATCCGAATCCCCCAGGTGGGACTGAATGGCAACACGTTTTTCTCCCAGCTCTGGGAATGCCCGAGTCGCCGCGGTAGAAGTTCCACGGGGGTGTGCGGAGAACGGGGAAGTTCCCTGCTGGAGCTGTGACCCAGAGCATCCCAACTATCGAAACCCCAAACCCCAACCCACGGCCCCGGACGGGCGCTGGCACCGGGATAAACGCCGGGCAGTGACACTAAGGCAGCGCTGGGGCTGCTCCCCTGCACGGCGGGGTCAAGGGGCAGCGCTGACCCGCACCCAGCAAGCACAGTGAATACATACATGAATGTGCTTGTATAAATACACATACGAGAAGATGACGGCGCCCGTCTCGCAAAGGCTGAGCGCTGGCAGGCACTCACCGCTCAGGTAGTTGGTCCACTTGTACAGGACCCCCTCCATGCCGGCCGGCCCCTGGCCCCATGCAGCGCGGCCGCCCCCCGGCGGGGTCACGCCGCCCGCCGCCGCCCGCGCTCCGCCGCGCCGCCGCCACACAGCGCCATCGCGGGGGGGCGCGCGCCCCGCCCGGCCCGCGCCGCGCCCGCCCCCTGCCGCCGCCGCTGCCACGCTCTCAGCGCAGGGAGCGCCGCAGCCGCGCAACCACGGCACGGCCCCGCGGCGCTACGGCAGCGCAACCCGCGCTGTGAATCGCGGCCCGCGTGACCGGCGGGAGTGAGAGGCGGGCGCGGGGGGCAGGCGGGGAATGCCCAGAGCAGGTGGCCTCCCGCGGCCAATCGGAACGCGCCTTCGCTGCGGCCGCCGCCCAATCAACGGCCGGCAGCGGCCGGCTCTATTGTGCGCGCGCTCCGCGGGGCTACCCCGCTCGCCGGCGCTCCCGGAGTGCCCGGCCCGCCCACCCCCCTCGGCTGTTCGGGGTTGCCGATTGGATGGGCTGAGGAGACGGACAGGGACGCGCCCCAATGGACGGCAGCTCCTCCTGAGCTCGCCCTGCGGAGAGCCAATCAGCGAGCGCGACGCTCGTGCCGGGCCGTCGGGAGCCGGGGCTGGCAGCGGTGCGCGCCGCTGCCACGTCGGACGGAGCGGCCGCGCTCGGGGCGCGGGATGGCGGCGCGGTGAGAGCGGCGAGGCGGCGGCGATGGCGGCGGGGCTGCTGCTGCTCGGCTCCGCCCTGCTGTGCGCGGTGCTGGGCAGCACGGGCGCGGCGCTGATCCCCCCCGCGCCCGACGTGAAGGTGGAGGTGCTGCACAAGCCTTTCCTCTGCCACCGGCGCACCAAGTGGGGGGACTTGATGCTGGTTCACTACGAGGGCTTCTTGGAGAGAGACGGATCCATGTTTCACTCGACGTAAGTGAGCGGCGCGTCTTCTCCCAGCGAGCTGCTGGCTGAGCTTGCGTGGGGAAATATATATATATATAGTGTATATGTGTATATATACATATAGTGTATATATATATATATGTATTTATAGTATGTATATATATATAGTGTATATATATATGTGTGTGTGTGCATGTACGTATATGTGTATATATGTGTGTGTATATATATATATGTGTATATGTGTATATATATATATATACATATATATATATAGAATGCCTACAGCTGGACGTGACCTTAAAGATTCCTTGAGCCGCCACTAGATCAAGTTGCTCGGAGCAGCCCCAGCCGAGGCGCCTTTGAGCGCTGCCCGGGTTGCTCAGAGCCCCGTCCAGCCTGGCCTTGAACACCCCCAGTGATGGGCTGCCAGCAACTTCCCTGGGCAGCCTGGTCCAGTGGCTTACCACCCTCACAGTAAAGAACTTCTTTCGAATATCTAATCTGAGCCTGCTCTCACTGTAAAGTCATCATCCCTTGTCTTGTCACTACACGCCCTTTTAAAATTTGTCTTTCTCCATCTTTCTTCTAGACTCTTTTGAGGTACTGGAAAAGTACAATTAGGTCAGTTCTTTCAGCCCTTCCTCATAGGAGAGGTGCTGCTCCATCCCTCCAACAATCTTGGTGCAGCTTCTCTAGACTTGCACCTTTATGCGTGTGTATATATATATGTGTGTGTTTGTGTGTGTATATACACACACACATATGCATATATACACATTTATTTATTTATTTTAATATAAGTGATCTCTTCTGGCCATGCTTTCCTGAATCCAGGCCTCTCACAGGGCTCCACAATCCATCTGCGAATAGCTTTCTGTGAGGAGCATTTTGTCAGGGGGAAAGTGGCTTTTTGTTTGGTTCGTTTTTTTTGCTCCTCCCTCCCCAAATGCCCAAAAGCCATGCATGAATGCCTTATTTGTTTTGGGATAAAAGAGCTTAAATAACACTGCATAAACTTGTCATTGGGGTCGCTCCCACTGCTACCTGTTCTCAGCAAGTTTGGTGAGAAGCGGTGTCTCACAAGGCTGTACAAGACGAACACCAATAGTAAGGCAAATTTTCTTTCCCAAGGTTATAAAATAAATCTTACTTAGCATTTGTTTTCTGGTCAGTCTGTAGGAAGTAGAACTATGTGGCATTTCTTAAAAGATGGGGATGTTATGCTTGGAGCACCTCTCCTGTGTGGAAAGGCTGAGAGACCCGACACTGCTCAGCCTGGAAAAGAAGAGGCTTTGAGGTGACCTCATTGTTTCTGGCTTTCCACTACCTGAAGAAAGATGGAGAGAGACTTTTTGCAAGGGCCTGTAGTGACAGAACAAGGGGGGGAGACGGCTTCAAACTTAGAGCAGGTTTAGATCAGGTTATTAGAAAGAAGTTTTTTACTCTGAGGATGGTGGGGCACTGGGGCAGGCTGCCCGGGGAAGTTGCCGACAGCCCATTCCTGGAGGTGGTCAAGGCCAGGCTGGATGGGGCCGTGAGAACCTGGTCTGGTTGAAGGTGTGCCCATGGCACAGGGGGTTCGAACTGGATGATCTTTAAGGTCCCTTCCAGTCAAACCATTCTGTGATTCTGTGATTTAGGTGCAGGTTTGATATGTGATCTCAGCGGTTTCATAGCTTGTGCTACGCATAAATTTCTGTTTGGTTTCTAAAGCAAGCTATTAGTTAAAAAATAAAACAAAGTTACATGTGTCCTTCCACTAGCGGCAGCACAATCACAGCTTTTCATTATTCTTTACCTGCCCCCGACCAGACAAGTCAACATGCCAGAGCCACAGAAATGCAAATAGGAGGAAGAGCCAGGAATTCGAGGGAGTCTGCTAAGAGCCTGCAACGACTTGCTAATGCTGGATGTCCTGTAATACATCAACGAAGTGTTAATAGTGGGAGACAGCAAAATATTCAAGTCTCTGCCGGCTGTCTGAAGGCTACTTTTGTATATGAAAAAAAAAGAAAAGAAAGAAGACAATTTTGCATGTTGATGCTCTTGCAGACGATTCAACTAAAATCTCACTAATTTTCTCTTGTAGTTAACCTGCCTCTTTAAAAGGACTTCTAGTGACACACTAAAGTTTTTGCTGCTGACTAACTTCTGTAAGTGTTCTGTTTTCTTCTTAAACACTTCTCCTGCATGACTAGTAAATAGAGCTTTCATATTCCTTGTCTGTTAGTAGAGTGAAAGTAGTCCGGGTTGTACCATCTGGTTAAATCAGAAAAAGATCTTGTGTCCCAAATCTAAAGTTGAATGTTTTGCATGCAGTTGTTTCTGTTTTTTCTAGACTGTTATGTAGTTGCTTTGTTGGGGGCTTTTTTCCCCTCAATGGCTTCTTTTGAAAGAGATGAGGCTGATGCTTCTGAGCATGTTAAAATGTGTATTGCTATGATGGCCATGCTGGTCTGTGATTTGCTGTTTACAATGGCCTTGACTGTAGATTTTTAAGAAAATGCCTTTTCTAGTCCGATCAGTTTCCAAGTGGAAGTAAGTGGTCAGGGAAGTGGAGGTGGAGATCTGGGTTGGTTAGTGTTGTCATAAACACACAAGATAAATGTTGTTTTATTTCTTTCCACTTCCCAAAGAGCTTTGTCATGCAAAGCATGTTTAAAGACTTTGCAAGTGTAGGTCTTTCATTTAGGAGGTGTCAAGGTGCTGAGTGGTGCTATGTTTTTAAATGTACATCTACATTATGAGCATATTCCATCGGCCCTTTGTGGCACTTGATGTTTAAATAGGAAGTGTTTTATTCCTTTCTTTTCCAGTCACAAGCACAACAATGGTCAACCTATGTGGTTTACACTTGGCATCAGGGAAGCTCTCAAAGGCTGGGACAGAGGGCTGAAGGACATGTGTGTGGGAGAGAAGAGGAAGCTGACCATTCCACCAGCCCTTGCTTATGGAAAAGAAGGGAAAGGTAAAACATTAAAGCACTCCCCTTGCTCTAATTGTTTCTAATCTCTGTATTTTACTGTTATTCTTGCCTAAGAGGTTAGCAAGCTTTCAAGCTTTCCAGGTTGATTCTGTTAAAGAAGAAAAACTGAAGGCATCAAGTGCTCTTTCTCATAAATTTGTTTCCTGCAGTAATATCCAGTAAGTGGCTGTGTTGTGAATGCAGGGGAAAAATACCCAGAAACCGATGGTGGTTGCTGTGCTGTGTGTTCTGATGTCTTTTCTGTTAGTGCTGTGCTCAACAGAAGCACAGCAGAAGCTCAGTGCCCTGCTTTTTATTTTTGTTTTGTAGTTTGTTTTTTTTTCTCTCTTCTTTTAAAGTCAAGTGGAGGTGGTTGCTTAGGTAACAGTTGGCTTTTTGGCTGTTGGATCTGGTTTTGTGGTAATGCTTCATGAATGTGCATTTGCAAGACTCATTCCTGCTTTCAGGTTTCTTTTAGAACCCTAAGAAACTCCCTGTACTGCTGCCCAACCAGTTCTTAGATGATGCAGTAAGAAGTCACTGTTTATTTCTCCATATGGGAACATTAATTCTTTCTCTCTTTCAGCTATTTTCAGTTTGGGCAGTGGTTCCTGTTATCCACAGTAAGATGTGCATGGGCAGTCACGTTGTCACCTACTGAAAATGCACTGACTGCTGTGCAGACAGATATAAACATCTCAACCTCTCTACTACTGAGGCTGTTTGGGGCTTTTCCTTTCAAATATTTCCAGATTCCTTTAACAGGAGGGCCAGATTTGGAATATGCAGTTAAGCAAGTGACAGCTTGAATGGTTCTACTTCTGCTTTATGGGATTTGTTTTAGTTAACTTTTTTTAGCAGTTTTTATGGATATTTATGTCATGACAAGAGTTGCAGCAAATGACCTAAGGTAGTGGAAGGTTCCAAAGCAGGAAGGATGAATGTCTAGGAGCATACAGTCCATCCTGCTGCTGTTCTCTCCCATCACTGTGAGACTGTTTTGGGAATGAGGACTGTTTGTGTGTCTGTGTCTTATGGCCAGTAGGCTGCACACAGGCTTAGGGCTCCATATTACCTCATGCCAGGTACTATTCATGCCTACAGCACACTTCATACTCTTCTTTATTAAATGCACTTGTTCAACACACATTTTTCTAGAAGCCCTGGTTTGCACTTCATGACACAGTATTAGAAGTAATCATGTTTCTAATAGAGAACAGGAACTTTGTGGTTGTCATTCAGTCTTTATGCAGAGCTCAGCTGTAAATTTTTCCACAAAAAGATGTGAAATGCTGCAGTGCTCGTAGTCATCACAGACCTAATTGTTTGATTAATATGTAAAGCACTGTAGTTGTTCTTCAAAGACTTGCAGGCCTCACCTCTGTGTTTAATGCAAGAAGGTTAAACAGCTAAACACTGCTAACTGCTGTAAGAAATTACTTGCTTTAGGAAGACTGAAGTATTTGAGCATTATTATGTTGCTGTTTTGAAGTGATACCCTTGAAGACAGAATTATTTCATTTTCTTCATACTTTCCTTCAAATGCACATAATTTCACTAGCCTCCCACCTTGGTTGCTTTCTGACTCATCATTTGAGTCAGATGCCTTTTTCTGTAACACTCAAAAAATTACCTGTGTTTCAAACCCTAAACAGGGCACTGTGCCCTGTATTTCCAGAATATTCTGCACATTTTTTCATCCCAGAAATCTTCAAGCCTGTTTGTTGCTGCAGCTCAGGGTGTATTTAACACCATAGCTCCAAAGTGGTAGATGTGGATTATTTTTCCCTGTCTTCTCAAGGCACAGAAATAATTTTTGGGGTGCTGCTGTCCAATATAGGGATATATTTGGTGCTGTTCAACCTGTCTCTGTATAAAGGAGCAGTGATGTGCTGAAAGGTCTTTGACAGTAGATTTGGCCATCAGCATGAGGGCATATCACATCTCTGTCAAAGCCAGTGCCTGATGAACTGATATCCTTGAGGTGTGGTGGCATGGGGAGTGCTCTGTGGCACTGTTAGGAAGTTACCAGTCTGTTCTCCTGCATCAGAAATGATGTTGTGGTAACACAGCTCTTGTGATCAGGTTTGGGTACTCGGTTTCTGCTGTGTGTTTGGAAATAGCTCAGTGCTTTGTGCCCTGAGTCCAGAGACTGCTGTGGGAGACCAACATCATCCTTGGCCTTTTTCTGCAAAAGAGCTTTTCCAGTGGCAGAACAGCAGACACAAGGTATCAGCTGGCAGTAGAGAGGAATTTGGGGACTATTGGGATATCCAGAGGGCTAAATTCTCCCTTCCTGCTGCCCTGTAATTAGTCTTGGCCATAGCCTGTCTGACTGTGCAGTTTCCTTTACTGTTTTCCAGTTTATCTGGCTCTGGCCATGAAAGAAAAAAGATTCAAGATCATTGTTTGATAAACTTGTGATGGTAATTGCTGAATAAGAGGTTGCATCAGCACCTACTACTCCCCAACAAAACAGCTGCATCTAAAGTTGCATTTATGCTGTAGGGGCTGCTCAGAGTCCAGGCTACAGGCTGACATGGTTGTGTCATCATTGTTTCAGATACTTGTCCTTACTGGTTCAAACTGCAGGATGCTTTGAAATGACTGGGCTTGCTGAACATTGCTCTGATGCATGTGGCCTTTGTATGGCATTGAATATATAGTTGGTTTCAACTTTTCTCCATTTTGGGCAGGAAAAATTCCACCTGAGAGCACATTGATTTTCAACATTGACCTTCTAGAAATAAGAAATGGACCAAGGTCTCATGAGTCATTCCAAGAGATGGATCTTAATGATGATTGGAAACTATCCAAGCAAGAGGTGAGTGGGTTATCCTTGTCTTGTGAGGAAATCTAACAGGATGGGAGAGTGGAAAAGAATGCACATTTATGCTACACTGCTCTGAGCCTTGCATCCTAGTGAAAATTCTGGATTAGAGGTTCAAAAGGAGCCTTGGTAAACTGAGGATAGACATGTGACTCATGCTGCACGCTTGTGGAAGACTTGGATAAAGTAAAGCATCTTAGAAATAAAACCAGACTTCAGGGCTTTTTGGATTTAATTGCTGATTTATTAATAAACTGGGATCTCTTCTGCTGCAGGGCAATCCTATTTTGTTGTGAAGGACACGTATTCAGCATTATTCACCATCTGTTTGCCTCTCATTTTCAAACTTCTGCTTTTTCAGCAAGTGATCCATGTTCTCTAGTGTAAACCACTGGGTTGTTCTTGATTTGGGTCTGGTACCAGTTTACCAGACTCAGAAGGCTAATTAATCATTTGTATGTATCAGACAGTGTCTGTGTGTGTAATGTCTGCATATTAGGAATATAAACATTAGCCCTAACAAATCCCAGAGACTGAAGTGATTAAAACAGACCTGTAAAGTGGCCCATGTTCTTATACAAGTGATATCTATTTAACAGATGAATATGTTGGTATTACAATTTTTGTAGAAGGCTCTGTGATTCAGAACACTTGGGATCTCCATAGTAAAACCTTAAAAACTTATTAAAAGCAATCTGATATTGTTGAAAACACTGCTTACCATTACTGTCTAGCTTAATGTAAGTCAGTGTTCCAATGGTCTGTTTAAAACCTGCCTTGAGTTTAAATTCCTTTAAAAATCCCTGCATCCTTAAAAATTTTGAGATATCTAGAAATCTTTTAATGTATTTCCCATTGGAGCAGCAAACACTGAGATTGTGGAGTATATATCTGGAGTGGCTGTTTACATGTACTGGGTTGTCAGGGTGCTGGAATGTGGACAAGCTGTCTCTGACCAATTGGTAGCTAATAACTTCTGCCCAGCTATTTTTACTTCACTGTATAGACATCGAGACATCAGAAGACAGGCAGTCCTGACTCATTTTTTGAGTCAGATACCATAAAGGTATGGCAACAGCTTTGCTAGTTTTACTGTCACTTCTATCACTAAAGACCCTTCATTCAAAGAGACTGCAGAGTCAGACAAGTATTATTCTGGCAGTGGCACAGGAGGGGAGGTATCTGTTATCTAATACCACCATCCTGAGCATAGCATCCCTCTGTTATGCTGCAGAAATCAACTCTTTCACAGGTCTGAAAATCCTCATTCTCACCTTTTGTCTAACAGGTGAAAATTTACTTGAAGAAAGAATTTGAAAAGCATGGAGCAGTGGTGAATGACACCCAGCATGATGCTTTGGTGGAAGACATATTTGATAAGGAGGATGAAGACAGTGACGGGTTTATATCTGCAAGGGAATTCACGTACAAGCATGATGAGCTGTAGAAAGAAAAGAGTGGCATAACTTTTTTGGACACAAATAGCAATGACTTAGACTGTCTGGTTCTCCTGTCATCTTAATTCTGTGCTTTGGAATTGACAATTGCTGTTGGCAAAGAAACATTTTGTTTATATAAAAAAGAATTTCTGTTTGTTATGTACAAATGTTTTAAACTGTTTTAAAGTGTGAAAATGTTCCTCCTCTTACACAGCGAAGACTTGCACATCAGTGTTTTTAAAGTTTTGTATTAAATTATTTTTCAGAAATGAAACAGACTTTCCATTTATCATTCATTATGAAAATCAAAATCCAGTTCAGTGACTTTCTGTGATGTGTGTGCCAAGATCACTTTCAGCAGCTACCTGACATATTACTTGTAGTCTGTGGCTTAATTACTTGACCTTCCTTCTTGAGTGTCACTGCTTAAAAAGCAGTTTGCTGACCTTTGGTTTTTTCCTGCAGATTTTCAAAAGATGTAGTAGAAGGCATCAGCATCTCTGTATGGCTGAGAAACTGATACAAAGCTGAATGAGAAGAATGATTATCATGTGCAGATTTTGCCCTTCTAAAGGGAGAGTGTTACCACCCATGCCAATAATTGTCTGCATTTTTCATTAAATTTTCTGAAGAAAGCAGGAGTTAAATGTCAGACTTTCACTTCTACTGCCGGCAACATTCTCGGAAACATCTGTAATTTGGAAAGCAGCAAGTTGTGCTGCAGTGCAGAGGTGCTGTCCTTTAAATGTACACACACATTTGTTTTGAACCTCAGACTTGGCATTCGTCAGAAAAGCTCATGCCTTTCTCTTACAGTTTGAGGGGGATCTTGAGCAGAATGTTGCATGTCTGAAGTTTTCTCTCTTTGCAGAAGAGAGAGAGTGTACTGACAGGAAGGTCAGTATGGTCTGAAGAACAGTTTCTATGGACTTGTCTGCAGCTATGTAAGCAGCAGAACTTGTTTCATTGCCCCTTTGCATCATTTTTCACAAGTAATTTGAATTTTCAATTAAAAAGTGAATTTTTAGAAAAAAGAGGTGTTAAGGTAAGTGCTATGGTACTGTATCTTTACAGAGGTGGAGATCATTAGGATTTCAAACACAAAATTGGAGTTGAAAGATCTTTCTGGAGAACAGGTATTTTACAATTGTCCATGGTTTCTTAAATGAGACAGCAAGGAGTCTCAGGGACAGAATTTATCCTGACATCACTAACCCATGGGTCTATGAACACAGCATTGCACTTGGAAATCATTGCCCAAAGCTATGTAAGGATGCAAAATAAATCCAGTTGTATGAAAGTGAGATTGCTGCATTGCACTAACCCTTAACTACTGCAGACTGCGTTCCAGGCTCTCAGTGCTGTAGGTGTGTTAGATGTTTCCCTGCCATCTAGTGTTGCAACTGAGGATTAGAGGACTGCTTCATTGACTGAGCTCAGCTGCAGAGGGGTGTGCAGAGAGGCCTGTCAATAGTGATGAGGGTATGCAGTGCTGGGATGCTCTGTTTTGGTTTTCTTCCCGCATCTGACATTTTGTGGGTGATGTTCTAAGACAGGAATTGCAACCATGTGTTTTGTTTTCAGTAACCTTAGGTCTCTTTCCTTAGTGATGCCATCTGCTTTTCTTGACCCCAATAAAACTTTTACTTCTAATGCTGTGAGTTTCAGTAAAATAGCGTGGGAAAATGTTTCCCTTCTGTTTTAGGCTCATTTCCTGCCCTTATTCTTTTATTGTGAAGAAATCATGAATAGTCACTACCTATTTAGCTGTTCTTACTGCTCATGGTTCTGTCTATTGATATTTTTTTCTCATCACTTACAAAAAATCAAGCTTGCCTGACCTGTTTGCCCAAGGCAGGTTGCATATTCTGTGCTGGCTGATTTCCCCTGCAGTCACCAGAGCACTGGGCACCTGGGGCAGCTCACTGCACGTGTATTTATCTTGTGTTGAGATAGCTGCCTTCCCAAACAGAGTCTTTGTTGACTGTGTAGGGAACTTAGACAATTGTAGCCTAGGCCAAAGGAGGATAACAGGATATGAAGTTGATCTTTAAGCCAGTCTTGCCTAGATGTGGGGAGGTACCCAACCAACTGAAGGGGAAAGTGTGTGTGTGCTGCTGGGAAGAGCAGAACTGAGGCTTTCATTGGGTGTGAGAGCATTTTAGATCATTGTTTGCAGTGTTTACAATGTTCTCAAAACATCTGGCTGGGGAAGGAAAGCATAAAAGAATGGAATAAAATTTGCTCATGTTACTGACCTAATATATTAAAAGTGTGACGGTGTTTGTAGGGGTCCCAGGATGAGGGAAGAGACAAGAATGTTGACTCCATGTTTCAGAAGGCTTGATTTATTATTTTATGATATATATTGTATTAAAACTATACTAAAATGATAGAAGAAAGGATTTTATCAGAAAGCTAGCTAAGAATAGAAAAGGAATGATAACAAAGGCTTGTGACTGACCAAGACAGTCCAGACAGCTGACTGTGATTGGCCATTAATTAGAAACAACCACATGAAGCCAATCACAGATCCACCTGTTGCATTCCACAGCAGCAGATAATCATTGTTTACATTTTGTTCCTGAGGCCACTCAGCTTCCCAGGAGAAAAAATCCTAAGGAAAGGATTTTTCAGAAAATATCATGGCTAGAGTTAAGATTAAGTAATGGGGTGCCAGTATGTGACTCCAGTAAGGGCCAGTGTTTCTTTTGTATTAAATAGGAGTTTATAGTCAGTGACTGCTGTGAAATGTACAGATATAATCTTCTGCTTGGATTTTTAAAGCATTTCATAAAAATAACTTTCAGTGAACATACAGTTATTTATTAATGTCAGCAGAGTGTTAAAGCTGCAAGACCAAGATGCCTTATTTGGTGTTGTGTATAGGTTTATGCCAAATGAAAGTATGTTTTTTCTTAGCAATTTTTTTTGAGAGCTGTGTTAAATTCTGAAATTGAACTGAAAATGTTTGTTTTTTTTTTTTAAGTGCAGATTCAGCAGCAGATTTGAGAAGTCACTTCAACTTGATTATCATTTGCTACCATTAAAAGTCCTCCTGTGAAGATGAAAGGCTTTCTTAGGTAGAAATAGCACTGCCTGTTTTAACCTCAATTGCATTTGCTTGTTAATCCACAGAACAAACTGCTGCAGTGCCAGCAGGAGCCAGCCAGCAATCTGCAGGACACCAGAGGCAGGCAGCTGCCTGTCCCCTGAAGTGGGGAGGAGTATTGGAACTTCAGTGGCACTCAGGAACATTTTGGTGGCTTGTGTGTGAAGTGTGAGGTGTATCTGCCCTGAAGAAACAAACCCTCACTGCATATCTGTAAAACATGGCACTTGGAAAGGTGGAGAGGGTTCAAAACAGAGCACTTTCCTTCTGCATCCTATAGCCTTCTTCAAACATTTCTTGTTGGTTTGTGGTTATTTTGGAAAATATATGGTGATGTTTTTTAGAACTGCAGCCTGTCATTCACAGTCAGTACCTAACAATTACAGTGGGAGTTGCTGCCTTCTGTAGGTACAGGAGCAGCCTTCAGAGTGCATTTTATTTGAAAATTCTTGATAAGCAATGCAGTGACAAAAGAAAGCTTTTGGCAAAGCTTCAGAAATGGTGCTTTAGTCTGAAATGTTTTTTAGAGTTTTCTTTTTTGAGATAAACTGACAAGGCAAAGAGAATGAATCACTATTTGATCTTAAATCTTTTCAGTAACTTATGTCATAGAATTATAGAATCATTTTTGTTGGAAAAGACCCTTAAGACCATCCAATCCAACTGTTAACCCAGCGCTGCCAAGTCCACCACTCAATAATGTCCAAGTGCCCCAGCTAAATGTCTTTTAAATACCTGCAGGTGTTTCAGTGGTTCCTACACCACATTCCTGGGTGACCTCTCCTAATGCTTGACAACCCTTTACATGAAGAGATTTTTCCTAAAATCCAAACTAAACCTCCCCTGGTACAACTTGAGGATGTTTCCTTTTCTCCTGTGCCTTGTAACTTGGGAGAAAAGCCCTATCCTCACCTCACTACAACCTCTTGTCAGGCAGGTATAGAGAGTGAAAAGGCTTTCCCCCCTCAGCCTCCTTTTCTCTGGGCTAAACACTCCCAACTCCCTCAGCCTCTCCTCATCAGACTTGTGCTCCAGACCCTTGAGCAGCTTAATTCTCTTTTCTGGATGCACTCCAGCACTTCAGTGTCTTCTGGTGCGAGGCCCAAAACTGAGCCCAGGGTTTGAGCTGCAGCCTCACCAGGGCTGGGTGCAGGGGTACAATCACTGCCCTTGTCCTGCTGGCCACAGTACTCCTGATACAGGCCAGGATGCCAGTGGCTTTTTTGGCCAAAAAGGCACCCACTGGCTCATGTTCAGCTGCTGTAAACCAGCATCCCCAGGTCCTTTTCTGCTGGGCAGCTTTCCAGGCACTCTGCCCCAGCCTGTAGCACTGCCTGGGCATGATGTGACCCAGCACTTGGGGGCTGAACCTCATTCAGCTGGACCCAGCCCATTGATCTAGCCTGTCCAGATCCCTCTGTAGAACATGTCCTTGTGCTGCCAGGAACATCCCAGGCATAGAGTGTGTTTTGGTATTATGGCGAGCACAATATGTTACAGAGTCATAAAACTGCAGTGTTAAGCACATATTGAACAAATTGCTGCCACAATTTCTTCTTCATGATATCTTGAATGACAGTGATGCATAGTTGGTTTCCTGAGTACTTGGGTGTAAAAAATAGGTTGTACAGCTTGGCCCTTAAATTACCTTTGTTGTAGGTGTTCTCCACATCCCATCCTTTATGCTGTTAGATACAAGATGTTCTATCCCTTGATCCAGACATCTAGTTTCAGATGCAGGTGAGCACCACCAGGACTGGGAAAGCTCACTGCTTTGGGACATTCTGAGAAAAGATACAAAGCAGGGAAAATGTCAGAGAGAGTGGGATTATGTAGAGGGATGTGAGAAATGCAAAAAGATTTTCTTTCCTGGATCCTTTGGCATCTGGTTAGTTGGAAGGAAGAGCACTGGCAGCCACTGTTGTAGGGACTGCAAGTAATAAGGCTAGTTCCTGTTTTGACTTTGATTAGAGCTGCTTTGGACAGTTCTCATATGGAATTTAAGGCAAAATTTAAATTCATACTTCCAAGGTTTGTTAAAGAGTTTTCAGAGTGGTATGTTGAGTTTACTTCTTGAAAATACATTGGCCTCATCATAAAGTTTTTGCAAAACCCCCCAAAACAGAGCCTAAAACACACTACCCCAAACCCCTTAATTTGTCTTCAGTGCTGAATTGTTTTTGGTAACAGGAAATAGATCAAAACTGCTTATATTTGTATAATCCTGGATAATTTTAGCTTCTCTTGAAAGTTAATCATAATGCTTACATTCTGTGTCCTAGTTTTCTCCTGGTTCATAGGAAAAACAACTCTCTGACAAAATAAAGATCTTTCTTTAGTTATACTGCTCCTGTTTTCATGCCTGTGCTTGATTATGTCAACAGCTTCACACAAGAAATATAATTGACAATCTCAGTGGGAGGCTGTATAGGGACAAGAACTTGGTTATCATCTCTTCCAGCCTGGAGGGGATTCAGATGGAGGCTCCTACTGCATCACATTTCTTCCTCCTGGGAATTTTTGTTCCAA